CCCCGTCCCGGCCGCAGCCGGGAGCCGCGAGGCAGCCGCTCGCCACCCACCCTGATCACACGCCAGCGTCAGGAGCAGATGAGACCAGGAAGCTGTAAACGTTTCCCTGAAAGCCCCGGTTCTTCAAATATCAGTTGAGCACCAGAGCTGGTTGGGTTCTTTGGGGGCTGGAGAAAACAACACCTGACCTTTTCAGTGTCGTGGTGAACTTGGAGTAGAAGGACCCAAGAGGCCCTGCCCTGCAGTTGGAAACTGCAGCTGTCACATTTTGTTTTCCCAGTGTTTTTCAGCTGGGCTTTTTATAGTCCAGCAAAGGGTTGATTTATTAAACTTGATCTCTGCAGGCTCCTTGCTCACACGAGTCCTAAGCTGGTGGCATGGCACAGCAGGGAGCTTGTCTGAGGTGGCATCCGTGGGCATCCGAAGTGCAGATTTGGGCTTGACACCAGCTGAGATGCTGCAGGATGTGTGAAGTTCCCTTGAAATCCCTCTGCGTTATTCCCGATTTTCACTCAAGCCCAAGGTCACTAGTGCAGGGATGGGGACAGGCACGTGGGAAGGATTTGGACACAACCACAACTATTACTTTTCTCCAAGCTTGAGGAGGAAGGGCTGGAAAGGCCCATGCCATACTCATCCTCACCACCTAGGAGCATTTTTCGAGTGTTCAGTGTTCTAATTTTGAGCACATTTGGCTTCTTGTGGGCATAAAGTTCCTGTGGAAGGTTTTTATTGTTAGCTCAGTAGATTAATCCCTGACACCAATGGGCCTGGGTGATGAGGGCTGCTTCTCGAACGGAATTGGATTTCTGCATTAATCATGCTTGGTGCATTTCTGCGTATAAAGTGTATATAAATTTGTATGCTGAGCCTTGCACTTTGAGGCTTTGAAGGCAGAATAATAGCTTTGGAATTGAATCTTCTAATGCTGTGGGCAGATTGTTAACAAAAATGAAGGCTTCTTGTGGTATAATTCATCGAAAACAATGGGCATTTTAAAGTCCCAGAGCGATTGCAATCAACTTCAGGACGTATAAAAGTGATTGCTGCCACGCTGCTGCCGACACCGAGCCGCGCTCTGGGTCCCGGCACACAGAGCAGGTTATAGACACTTAACCATATGCTGATAGAGAAAAAGATATTCTTCATCTTCCAGAAGGAAATGGATTATTAACTCATCACAGCGCAATGACTTACTGCCAACCAATTTAAACACACAGTTGCCAAGCGACCTGTAGTGGATGTGTATACTTAAATATTTTAAATATATATATGCGTGTGCGTACACATGTGTATGTTTTAAGTGTTTTAATACACGAAGTATGTATTTAGACATACATGAACACACAGTGTCTATTTTTCATGTGCTGTCCCACGCATTTTGGGATTACGTGGGTTTGAGTCATGTCTCTGGGACTCCGTATCCCATATCCAGGACGCTGTATGGGTCATCCCATCTGTGGTCACTGTGCACAGTGGTCGCTGGCTGCATCGCGGCCGGCTGCGTTCACATGAGATTGCACTTACGAAGCTCTTCCACGGGTTAAATCCAGAGCATTTAGATTTTAGCCTTCCAGAGAAAGCCATCCTTCCTAAAGGACGTAGCAGAAGGTTGAAAGAAGGAACCTGCCCTCTATAAGAGAAGGGCAAAGGCTGAAATTCGCAGAAATGCAGTAACCGCTGCAGGCTGCGGAGGAGCAGGCTCCTGGGCACGCGGGCAGCTCCGTGCAGGGCACGCAGCCCTTCCCGGGCACGTCCTGCCTTGCGAGCCCCTGTTTCTGCTCCGTGCTTCCCGCAGGTACACGCTGCTTCCCAAGGGAGTCCTCCAGATCACCGGCCTGAGGGCGGAAGACAGCGGGATTTTCCACTGCGTCGCTACCAATATTGCGAGTGTGAAATTCAGCCGGGAGGCCAGACTCACCGTGTCAGGTTAGTGCCAGTAAACTGTGTCCTAACAACCTTCCCTTCTTTTCCTTCTGGATTAGGGTGGTTTAGCAGACTATCAGGATAACAGCGCTGCGAAGCGTTGCTCTGTCCTGCAATAGTCTCTTCCCTGTCCCGGATTGTTACGAGTTCTTGCCACATCGGTGCATTTGACAGCAGATTCATCTGTCCTTTTGCCTTTAAATTCGTGCCCTTTTCTGAGGAGGGGAAGGATGGTGAGAACGTGAGTTCATGCAGCTTTACACTAAATCCTTTTGGAAATGTGGAAGATTCATCATATCCTTTGAAACCTGCCCACTCCTGCAGCATCCAGGTTGATCAGTTATTTTTCTAGTAAGAGAATTAAGTTCTGTCCGTTGTTAGCATTGCTTTGGGACAGAGAAATGATCTCCCATGAGCTGCAGCAAGGCAAGACAGCCGTGAAGGTGCAGGACGTGGTGCAGGGCAGGCACCACGCTGGTCTTTTCCCCTAAACTGGGGGGGAAATTAGGGAACCCCTAACTTCTTTAGGGGTTTGTAGAGTGCCTGGGGGGCAGCGGTGCCTTGGGGCAGACCCGTGAGCTCCTACCCTCTTGCTGCCCAGGCAGGTTGATCCCCGGTGGTCTCCTTGGTTTTCCTGATCTATGTGAACAGTAGCTGCACCGAGGGGAAAAAGCACGGTAACTTTTCAACGTGGTGAAGTTCTTTGCAGCAATTTACTGCTCGGGGATATTGTTTCCCTCGGAGCAGAAAGTGCTAGCTCTTCTCATCTGACCGTCCCTCCTTTCAAATGGATGTTTTCCAGGTTTCCTGTCTGTGAAATGTTTGTGGTTTTTCTCTTCCTTAAAGAAAGCCGTCGGATGATGGATGCTGGCGCAGCGTGGAAGTGTCTGCTGAGGGGCTGCCGCTGACGTTCGGCTGCAGCACTGCAGTGCCTGCATGCTTGCAAGCTCGCAGCCCACCCAAACCCTTTTTCCAGGGAATTGCCCCGGCTCTGGCTTTCCCAAAGAGCCCCTGGTTGGAAACAGAGGCTGGGAATAAGTCCTGGGAGCCCCTGCCCCATCCTTGCCCTGCTGCAGCCAAGCAGCAGCATCCCTGGGGAAAACCAGGATGCTTTCTTAGCACTCTGATTACAAATCCAGGGGTGCCATTATTTCTGGTTGCCAAAACAGCGTGCTTTATACAGCCTGCTTTGGTCTCAGCTCCCGTTTGTCGACCTTCCTGGCTAACCTTGAACGATCCATTTCATTCCTCTGCGTCTTGAAATATGGAAATCGTTATGTGATATGATGATACGATCGCCTTATTCTAAACAGGAACGTTTAGTATTGTGATTTAGGACAATAAATTTACATGGGTTTTAAAGGCCCTCGGAGCTGCTGAGCGGAAGGTGTTGTTTCTCAGATCTCTCGAGGTTAACCAGCTGGTCGCATGAATTTATCGCGCATTCTGGTTCTCATCAGAAAATCTGCATTTTATGGCTTGCAGTGAAATGCGTTTAGTGAGAAAGGCAGCTCTGAAGAGCACTGACACGGTGGCTTTTGCTTGGATTTCGCCCATTTAGGCGCAATCTCCGCGCCGCTTTATCGCTCCCCGCTCCGCTCCTGCAGCAATGATTAACAGAGGAGCTGCCTGGTGCGGCCCTGCCTTGGGTGCCCTGCAAATCCCCCCGCTGCCTCCCCCATTTCAGCCCCCGGGAGAGGGTGAAGCTGGGAAGTGCAGGAAGAAAGGAAAGGAGATCCCGGTGAAAAGCCCTTGCAGGGTTTTTTTTTGGTGCATCATGTCTCTCCAGCGAGATTTTTGCTCGCTGAAAGCCCCACGTTGCTTTTGATTTGCAACGTGCTGCCCTCCGCGGCTGCGCCCTCGTGAGAGGCCTTAGCAGCCGTAGACATTTGTTGTCTGTAACTAAAGGGTGGGTAATTCTGATTGCTGGTTCATTCAAACCCCTGTGTGTTCGGGAGGTTTCACGGGACTTATCTGCTGTAGTGAGAAATGGAGGAGCCCCACGAGAGCAGGGCCCTGCTGCTGAGTGTGTGACACGGCCTCGGCATGAGGGACGGTGTGTGTGAAGAGAAGGTGTCAGGAAGAGGGGGCCAGGCCCTTCGGTGGTGCCCGGCAATGGGACAAGAGGCAACAGGCACAAACTGAGACACAGGAATTTCTGTCTGAACATGAGGGAGAACTTTCTTGCAGTGATGGTGGCAGCTGGAATGGGTTGCTCGGAGAGGCTGGGAGCGTCCTTGGAGATGTTCCAAAGCCTCCTGGTCGCCTGGAGCACGGCCTGGGCTGTAGGTGACGGGCTCGAGCAGGCCGTTTGGCTAGGTGATCTCCAGGGGTCCCTTCCAATCTCAGCCCTCCTGCAGTTCTGTCCTTCTGTGGCCTGCTCACCACCTTGTCTCCTCCTCGACTGCTCTCTTGAAGGCTCAGCCACGAGCACCCTGTGGGCCTCAGAGGCGAGAGCATCTCTGAGAGACCCTGGGCAGGGGCCAGAGCCTGGGAAGCTTCTTGCTTTCCTTTGCACAAGAGAGAATGAGATGCTGGGAGGCCACACAGGGACCCGTTAACGGTGACACTGTCCTTGCAGGTTCCCACTCCACCGCTTACAAGGACCCCATGATTCTCGTGGGCCCGGAGAACCTGACGCTGACGGTGCACCAGACCGCGGTGCTGGAGTGCATCGCGACCGGCAACCCCCGGCCCATCGTCTCCTGGAGCCGCCTCGGTGAGTCCCTCGGGATGGGATTTCCTCCCCTCTGCCCTTGCCTGGGAATCAGGTAGCTGCTGCCGACTCTTCATGCAGCGAGTGGTTCAGCCCTCCCATTCCTGCGCAGGGTAATTGCAGGCTCGTGCTTTATATCTTCCTGTCTACGCTCCTTTTTTTCTCTCTGCCAAGATTCTGTTTTCACATATTAGAGAAGTGGGTTGGTTAAACGTGTAGACGTTTCATGAAAGGTGATAATTTTGTCTTTCCCCAAGCAGCAGCAGCAGCATTTTCTTAGCTGCATTGCAAACATCACCACTGTTGGCCCAGAGAAGCAGAAGCACACGCAAACACTTCCCCGTAAGAGAGACTTGAGAGAGCCTGGCTCTCGGCTCAGATATTAGCAACACCAGCTCAGGAAATGAGCTGATTTGTGCAGAATGGCACTTTCTTTCAACTGCTAGGCAGAAATCTGTGCTAAGCAAAGTGAGGGTGCCTTCATTTCATCTTCTGGAGCTTGTAACTTCCTCTGTGTGCACGTTTTGTGTTTACTGAGCCCAGTTAATATTTCCCAAGCACTTTTGTTCCGCAAGGTCACTTAATTTTTACAAGCTCGTCTCCCAGAACCGTGCAAGGTAGCTGGGAAGCACAAACAGTGGTAATTCTGCCTCGCATTACTGTTCTGGATACAACACCTCTTCTCCAGGGCTCTCCGAGGGGCACAGTGGGCTCCGGGGAAGGGTGACATCCCGCTCCAGGTGACAAGGACTTGCATCTGGTGGCTCCTGTCCTCAAACCCTCTCTGCCACTAGCTGATTTTTTCGCCACAGCCATAACCCTCAGACTGATGCTGTTTTAAGGAATTCGCCAGATAAGCTCTGTCGTTTCCGTTCTCTTGGACACAAGGCAGCTCTGTATTAGTGCTCCACTATAATAAACTACTTCATAATTGCCTTAATTATAACAGCTTATTACCTTCTTCAAAACACTTGTCTCTATAGAGCACGGTAATAATGAAGACGTAATGGCTTCATGCTATGTTCCTCTGGATGGGTAAGCTCCCGCCAAAAAGAAATACCTTTTGCAGGTTGCTTTGTGGCACGGGCACAGAGATGGAGATGGGAAAGAGGCCTTATTATTTTATCTCTCCTTCTTTGTGACTGTTTCCTGTCCAAAGAATCCCAAGAGCTTGGTTAATGCACCCGGGCCCCCACAGCCCCGGGGCTAACAGGCTCTCGACTGAGTTTGTGGACTTGTCATCCCTTTTTGTAGTGATTTCAGGAGCGTTTTCCCATCCTGGAGCTTGTGCCTTCAGGAGGAAGGAGAGGAGGTTTTGTTGGATGGGGAGGTCCACCTTGCATGTGTCATCTGCCTGACCCCTCTGCTCGCACTTCCGATATTGGGGCGTTTTCCTCAGAAATGAGCAAAAAAACAATTTTGCTTTTATAGCTTTCTATTGAGCGCAGGAGAGGGAGCCATGAAACCGTTTCTACGTTTTGGGCTTTGGCTAAAACCCGTCCGTTTTCCCCTTTTCAGTGGGAAACACAGCTATTCCTTGCTTGCAGGAAAACCATTCAAATGCTGGGCCAGTTTTTGAGTGTTCCACAATCAATTTAGAATTTAATTTCCTTGGGAATTCGTTGCAGCCCCTGCCCACAAGCAGAATTCCTGTGCCTTGCAACGCCTGAAACGTCAACATTCATTAGAGAGGCGGCTCTGGGAGAGATGTAAAATCATTAGGGGCTTGTTCAGGGAAGGTAGGGGCTTTTCCTTTCAGCACTCCATGCTTCAGCCTCAGACCTGTATGCGGGCACAAATGAATATCCCGGGCACTTATTGCAAAGCCTTTTGAATGAGCGACGATTTTAATGTATCCTTACCCTTGAAGTGACAGGCCGCTGAGCTGGCCTCCATAAAAGGTACCGAGGCAGAATAATACACTATTTAGAGAGATATAGAAGAGTGAGGCGAAAAAGAAAAGACAGTGATTATCTGATAGCGTTATACAGAAGTTGTCAGAAAGGGCCGCACAATGGGAAGGAAATTACTAAAGAGGGAGCCATTCAAGAAGTAAACTATACAACAATTGTTGGAGCCAATTAATTGGTAACTTATTGGACACAGAAGCTTGCAATAGATGGTTGACTGGTTGACAGGAGCACCGTTCCCGTAAGTGTTTAGAAATAATAGAGTAAATTTCACCACTTCACATACTGAATAGTCAACTGTTGCAATGTACTCTAAATATGTTAATCCGTGGTGCCCAGTGTCCGACAGAGCAGGAGACCCGTGTGTCTAAAAAGTGGAAGGCTACTGTGCCGCAATACAAAGAATGCACAAAAGACCTAAATGATCAACATTAGAAAGTTGTTACTTTCTTTCTACGCGCTGCTCACAAAGCAAGGCGTCCGTGTTGTTGCATATTCATAGCGCCTGGCGCGTTTTAACGGAGTGCCCTAATTGGGGCCGGTGTGTCAGTCACTCGGTTAGCAGGAGGATGGGCTCAGGGAAGCATCACATGCACCTTGGAAGAGGAAACGAGGTGGCTGCCGGGCTTCAGGCTTCTTAGCCAGGCTTTGCCCCAGCCCTGGAGAGCTCCGTTGGTCCCAGCCGGGGTGTTTTCCAGGAGCGTTGCCATTGGGATGCTGCTTTATTCATCCGGTGTCCGGCTGCTCTTTGCGCCCGGGTGAAATTCTGCTTTGAGGCAGCGTCTTTGAGGCAGCATCTTTGCGGCATCCATCAGAATCCATCCTTCTGCTTCCTCGTCACTTCCTCGCTGGTTCTTGGTGATGTTTTGCCACGAGCTGGTCCAAATCAGCAGGATGGAGTGGACAGACCTGCAGCCCCGGAGGAGGCTCATGCCCTTGGGGCTCACTCACCTCAAAGCCCTTCCGAAGAGCAGCGTGAGGATGGTCTGCATGAACAGGCGACCGCTTCATTCCCAAACTAGGACCACAGCAAACTCCTAAGCACTGCTCAATTGATGTGGGAGAGCAGAGTGTGTAGGACCCTCCTGAGGTCCCTGAGCACCCTGTAGGGCCAGGCCCCGACCAGGACAGACAATCTCAAGGTGAAATGTGAGCTCTGAACCTTTCCTTGGAGTTTGGTGCTGTTGTCCAGGATGTGCCCGCTGCACGAAGCCCCGTGTCAGGATCGCACGGAGAGGCTGGCTGCAGCAGGAGCATCGTTTTCCTCCGTGGGGAAGTGGGCTCTCAGGAAGGCAAATTCTTGTCCATTTGGACTGAACATGGAGCCCAGCACAAACGTTGCTTTCTGGTTTTGCAGATTTTCCTTATCATATTTTCTCCTGTCCCCATCAGGACAGGGAGTTTGTCCAGCTCAATGCCTTATGGCAAGTAAAAAGGCTTGCACACCTTTCTCGGTTGGCTTTGCTTGCAGACTGACCACCAGCAGAGAAGTGAACTTGCTTCATGTTGCTTTTGCTTCTTCTGCAATGCTCCGTCAGGGACCAACAGAGAGGATCTGCATCTCCACCCAGATTGGCTTGTTTCCAGCCCTCAAAAATCTCTGCATTTGGCCTCATAAAAAGAAGTGGAAGGTCATGTTAAGTAAGCAACAGTTTCAAATCCACGTGGGTCCCAAGTGCTTTGGGAAGCAAGTAACAGTGTTAGCTCTTGCAGTCTTATCTCCTTCACGGAGAGCAGACTTGGTGACAGAAGGCGCTGCCAGGAAGGTGTTTTTTGGGTTTGAAATCCCTGATACAAGCCACCGTCCAGGTCTGCTTGTGAGTGAAACAGGGTTAAAATAGATGTCAGTCTTTGCAAAGCAGGTGTGAGGCCTCAGTCCCTCTACACAGCACTTCTGCAAAGCTTTTTGGATTCAAGTGCTTTCTTACCTAAGTGCCTAGCACAGTGGGGCGAGGAGGAGGATGGAGCTGGCTGCGAAAGCGAAGGCCGTTCACCAGAAGGTGTTTCCAGCATTTTTTTGGGAAGGGGGATGTGTTTGGATTGATCTGACGCACTAATCTTTCCTGGCTGTTAGAGAGGGCCAAACTCCCTCAATCAAATAGCGGTTTCCCCCAAGGGTCCTGAGCTCGGAGAACTTTCTTCTTTAGGGAAATAGAAGCTGCTCAGTTGACAGGCAACGTTTCTTCAGACCATCCTGCCTCTAATTAATAGCTGGAGCTGCAGAGACAATTGAGACGCTGATATCTGGACTGTGAGGAGAACCTGCTGCAGGCCGGGTCCTTCATGCTTAAATTATGTAGCACATCATAAATAATACAGTAAGCCTACTGACATTCAAGCCACATTTCTGTGATATTTCTCAAGGCAATGATGTGATGAAGCATCCAGGTATGACCGCTCCGCATCTTTCACTGGTCCTGTCCCTCCCTTGAGAGAGAGCTTTGATTTTTGCACCTATTGTAAATATGAACTTGCGAAAGGTCTAATTTAAAAGATGAAATCACGTTCAATTTGAATTTGATTCAGACCTTCTTTACACTTCAGTTGAAATTATGTTTGAAGGGAATGGTTCCTTCTTATTGCTCATTAAATGTGGGACAGGTCATGTTTTACTGTCCTTTTTATGACTGAGCCATTTACTGCTGCAGTGGCTTTGCCAGCGATGTGAGCATTTAATGGCGTTGTTTTTCTCTGTCTAAAAGACCTGAGAATTTTTCTTTACAGTGTGAATAATAAAGGGGCTTGACTCTGCCCACCTGGCGAAGCAAGGAATCCTTTAAGTTTAAAGATTCCTGCAAAACACCACAAAGAGCATCGCTGGAGATATGTTTGGAAACGTCTCCCTACTTTTCAGTCCACCCTTTCCCAACGTTTTCCAGTGCGATGCTGCCATCGCTGCTCCTAACTGCTCCTCCTGGAAAAACACCCCCACTGCCTTGCCCCTCTGCTCAGACACTGACACGTGCTGGGGCTGATTTAGAGCTGCCTTTGTCAGACAGAGCCTTAAAACACAAACCAATGAGACGATAAAAAGCAATAGCCTGATACTAATGAAACACATTGTAATTAGAGCTGGCTGGGAATTTTCCAGCGAAATGGGCTTTGTTGGAAAAGGGCAAATTCCCAGATACCGAACTGTTTTGTGGAAGTCCTTCAGTTTTGAAGACCTTCTGCAGAAGCCCAGGGGTCTGCTGGAAGCATCGCTGCTTCCTGGTAGGCTTCCGCAGGGTCTGGGGACCGAGGAATCAAAAATCCAGGATTCTTGTGGTTTTGGGAAGCAACGGGACAGGTCCAGGGCAGAAAAGTATACCAAGGGTTAGTAGAAAAAAAAGGGTCTCTTCTGGCTCAAGAAATCCTTGAGTCCGTCAGTGCTGGTGGCTGGGCAAGTGCATTAGGGAGGCTGCTGCTCCTCCTTCCCGAATTGTCTTTTGGAAATAGGATCTTGAGCTGGCTGGATCCCAGGTCTTCGGCCAGTCAAATGTCCCTGTAGAGAGCAGGTCATCTCTCACAGAAGCTGATATGATTTCACTTGGTTTTATTGCTCTCTTGGAAAGCATTCTGGGTGCTTCATTTTAATCTGAACAGTTTGGTTTTCCAAGCAGCGCAGTGTGACTGGGAGCCAACACTTAGCTGATGACCCTGGTTTTCTCTAGAGCACAGGGCCGCCAAGAGCATGAGCTAAAACCCCTTGACTCTACTCAGCAAATCCTAGTGAAGGGCATGGTCTGTGAGTGCTTAGCTCTGTCCTCACCACGAGCAACGCTCTGGAGAACGTGGCCCAAAGATCCAGCGCGTGACTCTCAACCTTTTCCCCCTTCTTTCAGACGGCCGCCCCATTGGCGTGGAGGGGATCCAGGTGCTGGGGACAGGAAATCTCATGATCTCGGATGTCACCGTGCAGCATTCCGGCATCTACGTGTGCGCCGCCAACAAGCCCGGCACGCGGGTGCGAAGGACAGCCCAGGGCAGGCTCGTGGTGCAAGGTGAGGCTTGCAGAGCGAGGTGGCCGTGTCACTGTGTCCTCCGTGTGGTCTCCACCAGTCCCCTGTGCAGCTTGGTTTGGACAAATGCTGGCTGTGCTTCTCTGACAGTATCAGACAAAGCGTTTCTTTCCTCTTCCCATGTCTACCGTGACCAGGTGAGTCCATGACTCTATTCCCTGAAGATGGAATCATCCAGCTGGGGCCTTTGGACCATGGGTTGAAATGGCCTCCTACCCCATCACAGACTTTTGGGGTGATGCAGCCCAGCTGTAGCTGGTATTCGTCCATGTATGTCTCAGGAGATGTTCAAGGCCCCTCACTAAGTTATCCCTCGCTTTGGGAGTTATCCCTGACGTGCTTGGGGCACGCAGGCTGCTCCCCTTCCCCATAGCAACTCTCCTGAAATGCCACTCTTACAGGGTGATTCGACCCGAGTCAGAGATCAGCACTCGAAAAAACAAATAAATCCCCTCCGTGTGCCCCGAACGGCCAGTCTCCATGGTGAGGGGGGCCCGGCAAGTATTCCGGCAGGCAAATCCAGCTGGCAGTGCGCGCTGAATGGCAGCAATCCGCCCTGATTGCAGGCACTCACCTCCTCTTCAGGGTAGCCCACTTAAAGCAGCTCGCGCTCTCATCAGCTCTCTCATTAACTATTGACTGATGATATCCTGGATCTGGAATTATACACCTCCTGCCGCAGCGAGCTAATTGAGCCTTTCATGCTGGTGACGGGAAAGTGCCCTCCTCGGCCCCGACGGGCCCCGGCAGCTCTTCTCCACGTCCCCGCTGCGGTGGTGACGGTCCCCGGGCGCTGACGTCCCCTGCTCCGCTCTGCCCGGCGAGCCCATGGGGAGCGATGCAGAAGGGGCTCTTTGTGCAAGGCCATGGACTTCTCCCAAGTCCCGGGAGCTGGATGGAGACATGAAGAGCATGAAAACTTGCAGTGTCTTTTGCTGTTGCGTTTCGGGGTGAGCAATGGCACCAAGGAGCCATTGTCCCTGCTGACCAGGGGCAGTCACACCTATGAGTCTCCTGGTTAAGAAATGCAAGCAGTGGGGTAGGAAAGTGTGCCTGGAGCCTCCCCAGGCAGGGTGGCATTGCTCAGGAGTGACATTCCCTCAGGAAGCTGCTGGCAGAGCCGGCCCAGCCGTTGGACCCGGCCCACGTTTGCTCGGCCTCCCATCAGCAGCAGCTCCCCCTTCATCCGAATCCCTTTGTGCCTGGATTTCCCAGTTGAGAGGCACGAGGGATCACTGCGGAGGTTTGTGTGCAAAGAAAACCTCCATAATGACTGATCCGGAGGGCTGCCGGGTTTATCTTTGTCAAGATGTCAGTGATGCAAATTACATCCGCGGAGGGAAGAAAAGCAGGGAGGGAGCGATCCAAAGCCTGGCTGGAGCCGGAGCCGGCGCGGGGCCCTGCGAGCGGCCGGGCGCCTTTGGAAGGAGGCACGTTTGCAGGGCTGGAAGGGGCGACTTTCCTCTCACGAGGCTGGCACCGAAGCCACTTGTCCCCTCCTGCTGCCACCTCATGCCCCGGCGGTGGCAGCCGTCGCCTCGCGGCCTCTCCTGCAGCTCATCCAGCGCTGCCTGATTATCCCCCTGGGAATTCCTCCTCCCGCTGCAGGACAAGGCCTCGGCCCCCCTTCCCGGCCCTCCCCTGGCCGTTTAGGCGCCTTTGATCTCTTTTGTACGGTTCCCACACAAGAAAGTTTCCATTTTCGCTTCAGATCCCAGCGTGGCCATTTGAATATCGCTTTGTGCCGGGCTGCAAGGAAGGTCCCACGGGGGGAGCCGCGCAAGGGCCCGATGCGTCGCGGGCCGGAACGGGGGCCGCGCACGCGCGGGTGCAGCGAGGGAAGAGCAGGCTGGGCTGGAAAGAGGGGGGGAAAAATATCAAAGCGCTTTCTCTCTACCTCCTGTGCAATCTTTTGTGCTTTATTATGTGTTTGGTGTCATAACAAACTGATGGGCTGTGAATGGCCAGATGGTCACCAGTGTTCTCCACTCCACGCTTCATTTCCTCCTGAAAGCTCTGCAGAAAAATGAGATCCCCTCTCCGCAACGAGCGCCCACCGTCAGGAGCCGTTCCCGAAGGCGCTGCCGACAATGCCTGCCTTGTTCCGCCAAGGCCTCCCTTGTTCCCGGCGTTCCCTGCCCGCCGGCCCGGCCCGCGCTCCTCGGTCCGGCAGATCCGGCCACCGCGGCGTTTCCTGGCGTCCCTTCCGCCACCTTTGCTCGTTGCTGCACGGCCAGGACGCGCAGCTGCATTCATCAAATGTGTCGTGCTTGCTCCGTGGGACTTGCTTTGCCCTCAGGTTTACCCGTTGCGTTCCTGGCCTAAATCCAGGAGAGCAGAACAGCTCTGGAAGCTGATGTGCCCCATGGAGCTGTCCCCTGCCTGCCCCGCGGTGCGTTTCCTCTGGGGAAACGTGGCCATGGAGGGGCAGGCGGGCGCTCGGGATGCCGCAGTGAGCTGGGGTGCCCGAGCCCTCCAAAGCTCCATGCCCGGAGCGCGCAAGGAGTTGAAGTGGAAACATCCCATCCTGAAGAGCCCCGACCTGACCTCGCCAGGACAAGCATGTCGTGACATTCGTTGTCCTCTGTCGGGTGATGGACGACGTGCACGAAACCCCTTGAGCCTCTGCTTGGTTCCTGGGAAACACGGTCACCTCTGGCCCTACCAGTCCCCCTAGTTACGCAGTTAAACATCTGTAGTCAATAGAAGCAGAGTGGGGAGAAGTTCTTCGTCTTCAGACATCCTGTCACCCGATGTGGTGCCCAAAGAGCTGCCTTCTCCGTGATCCTCTTGCTGAATGTTATGGTAACCTAAATTCTGAAGGTTGTGGTTTGGAAGTTATTCCTCCTTCTCCTTCTCCTCCTCTGGCTGTTGAGAGTTAGTGCCTGTTTTGTGCTGGGCGCAAGGTGCAAGATGCTCCCACTGCAGCATCTTCATAATATCACAGGACGTTAAGTGCAGCGAAACCTCTTGAAGGCCTCGGTTAACAATTCAGAGCGTTATTGCTTTTTGATACCCGTGTCATGCCTTTAAATATTCATTAAACCCACATGTTCCCCTCCCTCTCATTAAGCTCTGCATAATCAAGCCTGCGGCATCCTCGTGGGGCCGGCACCTCTCTGCTCCTCCTCGCAGCCCGGGTGAGGGCCGAGACCTGACGCAGCTCAGCGCTCATGTGGCCGGCATGGGCCCAGGCACCCGGCCTGGGGCCGAGCACCTTGTGGCAGCGGGGAGCAAGCGGCAATTTGGGGAGCACCAGGGCTGGAATGAAGCCGCCGGGAGGAGCCGGGATGGCCCTGCCGCCCCTTGGCACCGGATTTGGCACCTGCGGGCACAGCTCGGATGAAAGCCGGGAGGTGCGGAGCCCCCGGCAAAGTAACTGCTGCAAAATGCGAAGGGCAGCTTGGAAATCCCGTCTCTGAAGCCCTCTGCTCTCCGTGCACACCACAAAGGCACCATTGACTGCCAGGGAGGCGCTTCCCCGCTCCTTGCATGGCCATGCTTTCACCTTTGAGTGAATTGCTGCTAAATTTAATTTATGAATTAACTTTATCTAGAGGGGGAGAAATGTAGGAGGGAAGAGGAGGGAACATGCATTGATTGGCACCCGTTTAGCGGGAGCTTTTGGAAAGACCTGTCCGCTGGGGTACAGAGGTGGGATTCGTTAGCAGAGCCGGTTGCCAGCAGAAGTGGCCTGGCAATAACCTCTGCCAGGGGACTCTCCTTGGCTATTAGAAATCGTCTCCTTCGAGGAAAACGGGCTCTTCAGCAGCTTTCAGTGTCTCGCTGCTTGCTGGACATGCAATCGGTGTCACTGCTCTTGGTCACCAGCACCTTTCGCTGCTCTTGGTCTCACTGCGGTGATAACGGTGACGTTCCCTTGCACACACACAGATGCTGAGCATTTTTTCTGGCCACAAACCGCAAAGCTCTGCTCCTGCATCCTGGGTACCTCCATGCTGCCGGTGACCAGCACGTTTCGCTGGGCCGGTTTGTTCCCCTTTGAAGCGTAGCTGCTTGTATAAATTCACCTCGGGAGCGTCTTGCAGGTGTCTCTCTGTTGGCTAATACACATTTTTTTATTCTGAGAAATGATTTTAAATCTATTCTGAGCTGCTGGAAGAGGGAGAAGTCACTTTCTGTTCAAAGATCTTATTGCTGCAGGTTAAAATTTGGCTCTGAGCAGCAGTTCCCCGTGTGGGGGAGCCTTTCCCCAGGCTTGGCATCACCTCAGCAGCCCCCGGCTCCCCGTTGAGGGCAGAGAGGTGCCCCCGACCTGGTGCTGCCACCCAAAAAGTGGTTCCCTGCAGCCTGAACCCGCAGTGCTGGTGGGAGACCAAGCTCTGAGCTGGTTCTCCGTGCCGGAATAAAGCGGGATCCTCACGGCTCTCCTCATCCTTCTCTCCCCCGCAGCCCCCGCGGAGTTCGTGCAGCAGCCGCAGTCCATCGCGCGGCCCGTGGGCACCACTGCCATCTTCACGTGCGTGGCCCAAGGGGAGCCCCCGCCGCAGGTCACTTGGCTCAAGAACGGGCAGATCCTCGAGACGAGCGACCACATCAAGCTGAAGAATAACAACAGGTAAAGCCTCACGCGGGTCAAAACACACGGGTTAAACCATGGTCCTGGCATAAATATGGGCTTACCCTGGAAGGCTGGGATTTCCTACCTGGTGACCTCTGGAAACGGCTGTCCCTGCAGGCATAATTCACATTATTTAGCTACAGAGGCATCTTCTCCTGTCCCACCAGCTTCAGTTTGTGCTTTATAGCACCCAGACATCAAGTTAAGGCTTTGACTGATGATGCTGGTGCCTAGCAAAAAAAATTGGCCTCTGTCATGACCCTCTTCTGGGTGTTTCTGAAGGGCCCAAGCACTGTGACCAGGGACGTGGTGCCCTGCTCACCCAGCAGCCAAGGAGCTTCAACCCCTGTATTTGGACCTGCCCACGCTTGCAATTGCAAATGCATTTGCCCCACTTGCAATAATGTTTGAGTGGACGCTGACTTTGACTAAACTGAAGCCTTTCATCTCACTGGGGAAGAGGGTTTTCTGTGAGTACTAAATAACTGTGTTGTTTTCGTGCCGAAGTGTGGGGATGTTTGTACTGTGGGAATGACACGGTGAAAATTGCGAGTGGCAACAGAGTTTCTATGGAAATAGCATGGAATGGTGCACCGAAAAATAATAGTACATGTGCTGTAGATGTAAATTATCAGTAGAGCTTTGTGCTCTCCGGTGTGATATAACTCTTGCACTTATTAACAAATGCATCTCATGAAAGCAGCTACCCAGACGCAGGGTCTGCTCCTTTGGTTTAGCCCTTTGGGAGGTTCTGGGCAGGTGCCATGGCATGTTCATCCTGGCAGAGCAGTGCTTTATATGTCGCATATGTTTATATGTGTTTCCTTTTAATGTAGCTTTTCATTTCCAGGCTTAGGGGTTTTTTAAGCTTTGCGTTATCTAATGGAAGGCTGTGAGTTGCAATAAAACCTTTGTGGTAGGTGGAGGTTTTTCTCCCAGCTGGAAGTTTTGAGGACTTCAGGGAACTTTGCGCATGCACAGGCTGCTTGTTGCAGACTCGTGCTGTTGTGACTCCTTCTGTGGGTTGCTGAGGCATTTCTGCCCTTATGGTGTGAACTGAGCAGATGTAGAAGAAGGGAAGTTAATGCTGTCCCCCTTACAGACCAGGAAGCAGAACCGTAAGTGAGCAAAGACCATACAAGCAGTTGTCAAACACACAGCAAAACTCACGTTGGGTTCTACAGCTTTCCTGCGTGCTTTTCCTGTAAAATCACTCCCCTTCCCTGCTGGAGGAAGGCAAAAGTCCTGTTTCCAGGAAGGACCCCGGCCAGGTCCTTGTCCCCAGAGCGGGGCTACCCGTGCACGTCAACCGCGACTGGCTGCGTGTTGCTGTAATCGTTCTCTTATGGCAATCGTTTAATGCAATTTAGCGCCAGCCTTTTTCATTGCAAGCTAAGTGATCACATTACCTTGCATCTGCCACCGGCCGAGGGAGCGCGGCCGGTTCCTGGGGCTCAGCCGACACGCGGCATCTTCTTACGCTCCATTATATGGTAAATCCAAGCCCAAAAGCCATCGTGCTGGAGAGACCGAACTTCGTTTTTGCTCATTTTGATTAGGAAAGTGGCTGTGCCCAGGATTGCCAGAGCTCTCAGTGTGAGAAATGCCCTTGCTGGGGCTTGGGCACCCCAGGAACTGCAGCAAACAGCTCAGCGACTGCTTCTCCCGGAGCTTTTCCAGGTTGTCCTTGGGTTCGTTCTCTTGGGCATGACTAAATGCTGTAACCCACTTAGTTCCAGGCAGAATCAGTTTGTGATTATGGCTGGGATTTATCAGGCTGTTGCACTTGGCAAAAATATTTGTCTGTGTATAAAGATGGATCTCGAATCTTCTAGCAGAGACGCTCCTCTAAAGTGTGCTCTGAGCTTTTTAATTAGATTACATGGTTTCATAGAAAACTCATTTGGATTAAAACTCGGTTTCATGTGGCAGTGAAGGGCTGAATGCCCCCAAAGGGATGTTTAGAAAAAAAAAAAAAAAGAGTAAATCATCCCAAATTGCATCGTGCTCTAATTGGTCATTGCAGGCACAGCTGGAAGTGAGGGGCAGAGCCAGTGCCATGGGGATGCCCTGCTCCCTGCTCAGCATCCTCGGGAGACATCACCCCCGCGGGACTACCCAAAGCACAAGCAAATTCCGGGCTTTTAGGCCACTAAAAGAAGCCTTGCAGGCCACATCCGAGGGACACCGCCTCCCTTGAGGTCCCTCCAATGGGGCTTGTGATCGCCAGCGACTTCCCTTAAAAGCTGCGAGGGAAAATCCCGCAGGGAGCAGGCGATGGAGGTGTCCTGTCCTGTGATATTCCCCCATGCTGGGGATGGGGTCGGGTGGGGGAATCGGTGGGAATCGGTGGGTTGGAGATGGCATTTCACCTGTCTTGGTCACAGTGTGGTGACACTGGGACCTGCAGAGCCGAGGTTGGGCCGTCTCCTCCGACCTGAGCTGCGCAGGGGCCATTTCCAGCAGAATTCCCCTCTGGAAGCACCATCCTGGCCCAAAAGCAGCCGTATCGCTGCAGAGGGGCTGGTTACTTGCCATGTTAATGCTGAGCTTGTGTGAAATTAGGCATTTTAGGTTATTACTTCAAAACTTACAAGAAAGCACAAAATAGTGCCCAAATTACTGCTCTGAAAGGTTTATTGCTTTTCCTTCCCTGACCCAATCAGGGGCAGGGGGGTAATTTCCAGCCTAGAAGTATATCACGCCGTGGGTTTTATATTGCTGCAACAGCAAGGAACAAAGGCCAACATCTTCAGAGGAGGCAGGCTCTAAATATTGATTTTCCGCGAAGATTTTATTTACAAAATGGTAATTAAGGGACTTCATTTGTTCCGCTGGAAAAAGGCTTCGTTAGCGCGCGGGCTCAGGTGGCTCTGCCTCTTCTCGGTGACCTTCCCTTGTGAACTGTCTCCTTTTGAAGATCTTTGTCGCTGCCTGGCACTTGTTTTAGTACCCTGAGAACCATTGACTCCAAGGGGTGCCGACGGCTCCGTGGAGGGAATATTCCTGCCTACGTAAACTCCAGGGCAGCTTCGCTTTTCCGGCCCGCGTCTTTTTGCGTTATCCCGGCGCAGATCCAGCGAGCAGGCTCCGAACCTACCGTGCGCACTTGCAGGAGGGCATTCTGCTGCACAGAGCTCGTCGGCTGAGTGCAGGGAGAGGCAAACAAGGTTTGTGCATCCTCCCTGGACGCGGGCCAGCTCCCGGGATCCGCAGCTGTCCCGGGAAGCACGCGCCAGAGCTGGCGGCTCTCCAGCTTCCGAAGGGCGCGAGGTCCCCGCTGGATGGGGACTCCTTGCTGGACATCCTGCAAGCTCGTGGGTTCGGAGGGATTTGGGACACCCAAAGGGAGGTTTCATGCCATGAGCTTGGGGAGCTTTGGCGTTTATGAGGAGGATCCCACCGAACAGTTCCCAGAAGCAGGACAAATAAGTCCGAGGAGGACCGGGATGCGAAGCAGCTGCTCCTGGTTTAAGGATAATTTATGGGCTTGCCTCTGTGCGGAAGACACGCGGGAAGCCGGCGCCGTCTCCCGATTGCTCGGCAGGGCTGGCCGAGCATCTCCGCACGGGCGCCCGGAGCCGCTGCCCAGCGGGGATCCAAGCCGCCCACACACACAGGAATCCAGCGTCGGGATCACGTGCCACATCGAACGGAAGGGATCGCAGCAGCCCCGGAGCAGCCGGCAGCATCTCTCCGTCGCACGGGACTCCGCTCGCGTTGCTGCCAAATACCCAGGTGATTTCCCTCTGGAGCGGAGTGATTTCCCTCTGGAGCGGAGTGATTTCCCTCTGGAGCGGAGCGATTTTCCTGTAGCAGCATTGCTGAGTCAGGGTTTTAAGCGTTTCCTAGCCCTGTTGCATACAGCAAAATCCACCTGCAAGGAGTTGTTGGCGTGTAGGAGCCTTTGAGGCAGAGCTAAGGCCACTGTGGGCAGCGCAAGCTCAACCAGCACACTGGGCTGCATCGTGTCCTCTCCATCTCCATCCTTTTTTTGGGGAAAAGCTACTGGGATTTTCCATGGAGCAGCTGAGGGTCCTGCAGCCATTTGCTGGGCTGGGATGTGTCCCCACCTTTCCCTGCAGCAGATGTCCCCGAGCGCCAGATCATGTTCTGGACAACAGGAAAGAAAAAGGCACCGCAGATCGGGGACAGTTGACGCGTGGGGACACCCCGCACCCTGTCTGCGTGTTCTGCTTTGGTTTCAGCTTCCATAAAAAGGAGTAAAAGGAAAGAGCAAAGCAGCAGGCGAGCCTGGCAGAGCGGGGTCCGCACATGGGCCCTGGTGCAGCTGGGAAAGGGCCTTGGTGCCCACGGAGCTCGGCAGCGGCACCGCTGCTCCCTGCTTGAGCTCTGCTGTTTGAGAGGAGACAAAACTCTCTGTTTTCCCCAGCTGATGCTTTTACACTGCTGAGCAGCCTCCTGCTCCCTCCCAGGATTTACAGGGAGAGCAGGAACCCTGGTGACACTGTCGAGCTCGGAGCCTGCAGCGAACGGAGGTGATGGACACTGTGGCACTTCCATACCCGCAATCCCCGGGAGAATGAGCTTCTGGGAGCCCGAGGAGCCAGTTCCAGCTACCTGCTCCCCCCGAGGTGCAGGGAATTGGCCCGAGTTTCAATCTCTTCCGAGCAGGGCAGCATTACAGGCTGCCCAAGGCCCCACGCTGCGATGGGGCACGTGCTCTAAGAGCCCCCAGCCCTCCCCAGGGGATGGTTTTGGTGGTGCCATCAGCTCCCATCAGTGTGGGAGCTCGTGCCCTCCCTGGGCCACTTTCAAGCAGACCTTGTCCCTCCGGTGTCTGCAGCGGGAACCAAACGAGCTTGGAGGCTCCTGCTCGTTGCCAGCTGCCTCGTCCGTGCTCGGTGCGCTCGGCTCGCTCCGGAGCGGCGTTCCCGAGCGGCGTTCCCGAGCTGGCTGCTCCGAGGAAGCGCCACCGCATTCAGGCCACGCAGTCCTGCCTGCCACCAGCTGTCCCCACAGAAACCAGGCCTTGGTGACACCCGTGGGGTCTCCCCCCTGCTCCAGCCCACTCCGTGCCCCCGGCTCTGGCTTGCTCCTTCCATTCCATCAGCCACATCAAGCCTGTGGCTACGAGAGGAGCTTAGGGCCAGTTCCCTAAAATCACCGTATCAGCCAAAACCATCACATTTCATATTCCATTTACAATGTTTCCAAGGAAACAAAGGCCCAGGACATAAATAGATGAGTGTTAAACATTTGCTCACTCACCATGGCCCCCATAATTTGCAAGGCAGAATTATGAATGTTAAATCAACAGCACTAATAAATTTTAATACAGGACGACCAATATTTTGCTGCAATTAGAAGCAGCATTTGTTCTGACAGACAGGCAGGCAGTGACAGGTTATTTATCATTTCCACTTTCTGTGTACAATTTGTTATTTACATAAAAAGGGCAGCTTGGATTCAGATCTGGAAAAGCTGTGAGATGCCCCTCAGCCCTGCAGAGGTGCTAGCAGTCTCCCCAGGTGCAGCCAAAGCTGAATTCCATTGAGAATTCCTCCTAGGAATTTCCCAGGGGGAAAATAATATACTTTTCCTTGGAAGCAAGCTATGGATTTAGTTGGATTTGGACCATTTATTGCAGAAGAGCGCCAGCCAAAAGGCACGTGCAGACTTTGCACATCAGGGTCTCTGAGCATATTTTATCATCAGCTTCCTGAGCTGCTGCCTCAAGGCTGGTAAAACCAGCTCCAAATCCCAAGGCTGCCCTTCCCGTTCCAGCCCGGTGCCAGGAGCAGGACGGTGAGTCCCCACGTGGTGCCCTGGGGGTTATTTGCAGGCTCTGCTCTCTGAGACCAGATTTCTAGATTTGCTCTCTGCTGGGTTGTCGCAGAGGGAAGCGCTTTATCCCAGCCTTGATTTTTGGGGATCCCTGCAGGCTCTGCCCCATGCTGAGCTTGCAGCACCCTGTCCCGGGTGCTGTTGTGTGTGCTGGGCAAGGCAGGGCTAACGGGGTGCACATTTATTCGGCGTTTGCCAGTGCTGTCTCAAAGCAGGGGGCAGCTGCAGCCCCCGGGCTGGGCCAGAGCTGTCCCGTTGTGCCTGGGCACAGGGTGCTCCGAAGGGTGGACACGTCCCTGTGCCCTCTGAGGAGGCTCTCACCCAAGGTAGCCAGTGACTCTCTATCTTCAGCCTGAAAAAGGCACCTGACGGATGCTGTGCAAAGCCGGCTTGGACACGCTGGAAATATACCCAGAGATTTTTTGCAGAAAAACATGCAAGTTGTTCATAAACTTGGGCTTTTGGCTGGCGGGGAGCAGGTTTTGGAGCCTGCAGAGGCAGTGGCTGAGGCCGCAGCTCTGCAGGACACGTT